AATATCTGTATCTGTGAAGCAGCAGCTGCATATCTTCAAGTCATTATAGTTGAAGTTGAGGTACTTTTTGAAGTATTTTATATTCCATCATCACACATAATACAGTAAATATAACCAATATAGGCAGTAAAAAAACAAAGTCAACAGTCTATTTATGGGCTCAGGTATGTCTATATATATATGTATATATATATATATATATATATACATATATTGCAATATACTAAATCATTAAATTTCATAGCATTGGAATTTAGAAACAGTGGATCAGTGTGATCATAGCAGCCCGTCTAATTAATTATGTGCATGTCTCGTTTTTGTAGTACCAGTAAGACTATTGAATTTTTACTTTTTTTAAATCTCAACCCCAACAGTCCACACAATAAGTTATATATGGAAGTATAAGTGAGCAGTAAATTAAATTCAAGGCCTTTTAATGTAATATACTCTAGATTTATACAGAATTGCTATTGACATGGATGTTTTTTCTTTAATATAATATATAACTTGTTGATTCCATGATAGTTTATGACCAACCCAAATCAATTGTTTCATGAGCTCTTCATTTCATAATTTGAGATATGGGAAATACAAAGCTACAGAAGATCACATGATTTTAATATTCTGTTACAAATAATAATCGCTATTATAATCCCGCACTCCCTGACTTTCCTGTCTCTCTCTCACTGTGCTATCCGAATAAAGGCAAAAATGCCAAAAAGAGACTTTGAAGAAATAAAAATCCCAATATGACAACACAGCCCCTAATTATGAAAAGTTAGTCTTTATCTAATCTCAGTTCTGACATAAAGCTCTCACAGTGTTCTAATGATGAAATCTTACATTCTAATTTCACAGTGACGTGTCTATTACCAGAATATATCTCATTAATCTGACAATCCATCTGATAAAAATTTCATGGTCATGTAACTGAGAGGTAATCATTTTTACTTTTACTGACTGCTGTGTTCTTTCATACATGACTCTTCAGTCAGTGTATTTGGAAGAGAAAGGGTCAGCAGAGGTCTTTAAGTTAAATTCCTCATGTCTTCATCATCAGTGTGACAGTCACAGAAAACAGGTGTCCGTTCAGTCCTTCCATCAGCTGTGGATCCAGATGCAGGTGTTGCGTGTTTCCCTCAGTGGTTTTCCACAGGGGCCCTAACTGTCCACTGGGACTCATGTCTTATTGTCTTGCCTTGAATAACCTTGAGCAGATTCCAGCAGAAAAGCCAGGACACAAGACATAGACACAAAACAAGCTGAGATAAGAATGGCCAAAAAAACCCCTCCAGGATTAATGGCTGCACTATTTCTTCTTTTGTGGTACTGACTGAGACACAAATCTTTGTCCCTTTGTCTTCCTGTGTAACTACGTAACAGTAACCCATGTTCAGGTTGTGTCGATTTTACACTCATGGCCTATGAGTGCTCTTCTTTTCTGTGTTATTAGAGGTTATTCCTCTGTGCCTGGGGCTTCTCTTTTCATTCTGAACACGTCTGATTTGTTCCAGCTTCTCCTCCCTCTCTGCCTGGCCCAGCTGTGTTTTGGAAAAGGAGGCTTAGGGAGAGGGAGCGATGGAGGCAGGAATGTGTGACAGTGCAATTTACCACTGTGATTGCTATGCCAGCGAGGACCAAGGGCCAAAAAATGGGCAGGAGAAGAAGAGAAGGCGCAGGACTTTTGTTGTGTGGGCTGTGTTTTACGGGCCTGTCTATGACTGACTGAAGGTTAGTCTGTGTTTTTATCAGTGTGTCTCAATAGACAAATATACACTAATGACTGACCAGACTAAATCCACTTGGAATCCAAGAAGTAAACATTGTCTTTACTTAATGAAGAGGCAGAGGTAGTTAGATTATTGTTAATACTCTGTTGGTGTCCACACTTTCACAGGCAGGTTTCTGGATCTTTAGGAGATAGTTGTTGTGGTGTTTTTGGTAGTGTTCAGGGTGTTCAGAGTGTTAGGGGGTTCCCATTGTTCAGAGTGTTCAGAGTGTTAGGGTGTTCAGAGTGCTCAGAGTGGTCAGTGTGTCCAAAGTGTCCACAATGTTCAGAGTGTTAGGGTGTTCCCAGTGTTCAGGTTGTGAGGGTGTTCAGAGTGTTCAGAGTGTTTGGGTGTTCACGATGTTCAGAGTGTTAGGGTGTTAGGGTATTTCAGAGTCTTCAGAGTCGTCAGAGTGTTCAGACTGTTCAGGGTGTTCAGAGTGTTAGGAGTGTTAGGGTGTTCAGAGTGTAAGGGTATTCAGAGTGTTGGGATGTTTAGGTTGTTCAGATTCTTAGGGTGTTAGGGTGTTCAGAGTCTTAGGGTGTTCAAAGTGTTAAGGGTTTTAGGGTGTTCAGAGTGTTAGGATGTTTAGGGTGTTCAGAGTTTTAGGGTGTCAAGGGTGTTAAGGGTGTTCAGGGTGTTAGGGTGTTTAGGGTGTTCAGAGTGTTAAGGGTGTTAGGGTGTTCAAAGTGTTTGGATGATCAGGGTGTTAAGAGTGTTAGGGTGTCCAGGGTGTTCAGGGTGTTCAGAGTGTTTGGGTATTCGGGGTGTTAAGGGTATTCAGAGTCTTAGGGTGTTCAAAGTGTTCAGATTGTTCAGGGTGTTAGGGTGTTCAGGGTGTTAAGGGTGTTCAGAGTGATAGGATGTTCAGGGTGTTCAGAGTGTTAGGGTGTTTGGGTTGTTCAGAGTGTTAGGGTGTTCAGGATGTGTTGAGCTTTGTAAAACTTTATTAAAAAAGTTGCTGGGATTATTTTAACATCACCTGCACTTGTCAGTGATTTTAGAGAATGTGTGGCTCATTTCTCACCTGATCTCAGTAATAGTCTGAGTGACCTCCTGCTCATTTGTGGACTGGCTGCTCCCCCTGTCCACAGGGACATTTTTGGACTTAAAGGTGGATATCTAAGGTTTATTTTTCATGTACATATAGACAGCTGTCCCTTGACCACTTTGACACTGATGAAAACTTTGTTCGATGAACCTCAGGAAGTGGATTTATGGAGGTTTATTCATGATGAGCACCAGAGACAATGAAAGGTCATGTTAATAAGTAAGTTCAAGTCAAGAGTTTCAGTAAGTGGAAATTACACCAATCATCACTCAAACAGGAGGAAATAATTCACATGTTAGAGATTATTTTCAGGTCAGTGAACATGTAGCAGAGATGGTAACTTGAGTTTGTGACTTGGAGTCAACTTGCACTTAAGTCGCACACAGTAACTTGAGACTTGACTTGAGACTCGGCTCTGACTCAAGACTTACAACTTGTGAACAATCTTTTCTTTATTAACTCTGCAAGAGGTTCTGTGTTCACCAATGTTTATTTTTCAGCAGGATTAAAAAGTAATGAACTGATTTACACCGAACTTGGTAGAAAGATGGAAGAGGCTGATTTGATTGTGTGTCCAAATGGGTTTTGGTGGGTCAGTCTGAATGCAAAGTCCCAGGCTGATTTTTATTCCCACTCCTTCCCTGGTGTATGTTGTTTAACATTGGTCTTGGCGGAGCTCTGCTCTTTACTGAGCACATTTTCTAGTGTTTTATGTTTTTGCAACATAAACATCAAAGAAATATCTGACAATCTGAATGTCATTCTCTCCATTAATATCAACTTATTACCTTTGAATGAATGACTGATGATAATGCAGTATGTGCTCTGAGATGCTTATAGATATGGAAATGCAGTGTTCTAAACAGACCGCTCAGTACAAAAATTAAAGACTTGAATCTTAACTTGGACTCTAAATCAGAGACTTGAGACTTGATTTGGACGTTAAAAAAACGATTTGTTAGCATCTCTGATGTTGCGTGCATGTTTATCAGTGGATGTCTGTGGCTCAGAGGACTCAGATACATCACAGCTGTTATCAGGAGACAGTTAGAGCTGCTTTGCTCTGATTTTTACTAACAATAAGAAAAACATCACCAGACTTAAACCTGCCTGTGAACCAGGTCTTCCTGAATAAAACACCACAGTCACAGTCACTGTGTGGTCTGTGGATCAACAAGAGTAACAGGGACAAAGAGATGACAGCACTGTGTTTTATCAGCAGTAGAAATAATAAATGATATATGATAATGACATATGATTGCACGGCATATGATCACAAATCCTGACAGGGTGTTCGATTTAACGGTTCAATCTTCACCTTCATTCATAAATAGACTCATGATAAACACTTGTCATTCATGATCTGCTCAGACAACATGTTTCACTACAGAGGTTACACTTTAAATGCCCTAATACGGCTACTAAGTAGTGTCTTATACACAGTCTTTGTTTATAGAGACTTTATGCAGCTGTTAAAATATTAATACTGTCAGCACCACAACATCCATCATATTGTCTCAGACATGGACAAAGAAAACAGAATCCTGGACAGATCCTCACCTTGATATAAAAACATTTAATTTAGGTCATTTCCCGTGTAAACATACCACACATTAGCTCCAGCTGATTTGACATGTGAACTGTTTACATGATTATAAACTGATCTTTGATTCCTCTTGTCATCATTGTCATCACTCTCTATCTTCCTGTGTGTTGCTCTGTTTTCATGGTTTCACTCTATAAATACAGACGTCAATAAATTATTCAGACAAGTGTGCGAGACACAAGTGAGGGAGAGGTAGGTCTGTTTACCTGCTGTCCCTGTGTGTGTGTGTGTGTGTGTGTGTGTGTGTCAGTGTGAAATCTCATTGGTGCACACAAGCAGCAGGTACAGTTGGCTGGGGGCCAAGATTCCTGCAACACTGAGTCACATGGGCAGATCATTATCTCACGCAAACACACGCACACACTCCCTCAGTCTCTCTCTCTCTCCCTCTCTCTCAGTGCATTGTATGATTGCACAAGCCCTTCCCCCTCCCTTAGATCTCTCTCTCTCTCTCCCCCTTGCCCTCGTTTGCTGTCTCCCTCTCACACACGCCCACACATGAACACACACACACACAGTGAGTGTTGGTGCAAAGCAGCGTTGGGGAAATCAGAGGTAGGAGCTCACAGATACAAACTGGATCCTTTTGTAACTGCTGAAATTTTCATGTCTGCTTCCATTAATTAGTCAGCACCATGCTCCTGTTTATCAACACTGGATCCCGCTCTGTGTGTGTGTGTGTATGTGTGTGTGTGTGTGTGTGTGTGTATGTGTGTGTGTGTGTGTGTGTATGTGTGAGAGAGAGAGAGCGCTATTATCACTGCTAATCACAGGAACCCTCGGACCATAATGGATATCTATTCTAGGCAGCTGTCACCGTGGGAGCAGAGGGAATGCAGGGAGAAGAGCTTGACTTTCTCCTGCAGGTTGAACTGATCAGGATGTGGCTGTTTTTTTTCCTGTCTCTGATTGGTCCTCGGACGTGTTCTCACCTCTCGCACTCTCTCCACAGATGAGAAGGAGGACTTGGTGTTAGGAAGTCTGCCGCTGCTTAGTTTCCGGATTGGAGGAGTGGAGCCTTCGGATAACGTCACCCGCAAGTTTGCTTTTAAGGTCAGTGGCATCCTGAGACGTCTGTGAGAACATTAATGAGTTCATGAGTGCATGGAACATATGTTGGTTCTTTGTGGTCATGTATCCTCCTGGTGGACAAACCAACATATGTAAAAAAGTTCTCTGCAGCACAGTGTCCAAATATTAAAGACTAAAGGAGATAAAGACGTGTTTCAGTGAAATGCTCCACAGCAGCTGCACTGGAAGGCTGTGGGCTGTAGGTCTCTGAGAGACAGCAGTTCCTTACAGAACCACTGCTTTAACCCTGGAGAATTCTCCCTGTGCAGTGAGACTGCTTATTGCAAAAGCAGGATTTACTGACGTCTGAGCTCCCTCCTGCTGCATGGCTGTAGCTCAGTGCAGGGTGCTGGTCTGGATCTGGCTGATTGATGGAGGCTGACTCAGTCACATGATGTTATTTATGACTGGTGAAGAGCCCCGCAGGGACGGAGTCTCTCAGTCTCATCAGAGGGGAGGGATGATGGTTTTTTCCAGTTAGAGAGGCGACCTTGACCTGCGACTCCCAGTTTAACCCTGTCTCTGGTTTTAGATGATGATGTTGTGTACACTGTGTTGTTGTTGTCGATGTTGTGTGCACACTATGTCCTCAGACATCACTCGGTGGACTGAGGAGCAGCTGCTGTGTGTTTGAATCAGGTCTCGTTCTTTGAAAGATGCTGACATGACGCTACATTAACAGAGTCCAGACTGATGCAGATCAAAAGGACACATTGATCCTGACAGGGACCAGAAAGGTCCGTCTTTGACAACTAGTTTAGAGCATCACATCTGTGGTGATGTCCAGGACTGACTGGACCATGTCCCAGGTTACAACCAGTGTTTGACTAAATGTTGATTCAATCCAGATTCACAACTGTAACTGGGGCAGCTATGGCTCAAGTGGTGGAACAGGTTGGTGGTTACTTCTGATGTGCAAGCCAGTGTCCTGCATGGTGTGTTGGTGCCCTGTGTGTGTGTGTGTGTGTGTGTGTGTGTGTGTGTGTGTGTGTGTGTGTGTGTGTGTGTGAACGGATGAATGAGAGGTGAAGTTGTAAAGTACTGTATAACTGCTGAGGTAAAAAAGATCTATATGAGTTCAGTCCATTTACCGGTCCATCCTCAGAGAGCATTCTCCTCCTTGTGGTGTGAGGACAGCGGGACTTTTCTGTGAGGTGTATGTGTGCTGGTAACAAAACATGTTCTGGTGACAGTCAGAGAGCAGAGATAGACAGAGTGTGTTAGTGGCTGACAAACAGATTAAGACTGTGTTTCCTTCTGATGAATCACATCAGCAGCTTCCTGACAGAGCTGTGAGCATTAGGATGTAATGTAGGTAGCTGAGTGTGGATCTGCTGAGTAAAGCTTTATATAAGAGGGAGAGTCAGCCTTGTTTCCTCAGCATCAGAGTGAGACACACACACACACACACACACACACACACACACACACACACACACACACATACACACACATAGTGACAGCTCTACTCTCTGCAGTCACTGTTTATCACTTCACTTCACTTCTCTTCTTTTCAGAACATTTAGTTCTTCTCTCTCTTTACATGTCTAGAGCAAAGTCCAGGACATGTACCCAGTGTGTACACCCACACACACACACACACACACACACACACACACACAAACACACACACACACACACACACACACACTGAGTAAATATATCCAGTTCTATTCAGACTGACAGTCACACTACAGAATAATATTCATGCTATCCGTGTGTGTGTGTGTCTGTGTGTGTGTGTGTGTGTGTGTGTGTGTGTGTGTGTGTGTGTGTGTGTGTGTGTGTGTGAATGTGTGTATTCCAGATTTTTTATCATACACAGGTTCAAACAGCAGAGTAAAAGACTGATAATGGGTTACAAGGAGAAGTTATGAATATAATGGAGGAAATAAAAATAGATTATCGGAGGTAAATATAGAATATTATGTCTTTGAATCAGAGTGAGTCTGAAGTTAGAGTCAGCAGTGATGAGGCTGACAGTGACAGTCACAGTCTGGCTCCATCAGATCAATAAGCAGTTGTTTTTATGATGGAGCACGGAGCTGATGCTTCACACACTGTTTAATAGCTGAAAATCTATTCAAATAATCAGATTATTTCTATAAATGTCTAAGAGTGAGATTTGGAGATGTTTGTTGTTGTTGTTTGTGTGTTTTGTTTTATTGTGTATGACAAACTGATCGATCTTGTTTTTTCAGTTTCACTGTTGAGTGAATGTGTTGTGAGGTGTTGATCAGACTTGCAGCATGTGAGCAACACCTGAGTGCAGCAAAGAAACTTCCATCACACTGTCTGTGACAGTTTGTGCTTGTGAATCTGACCCTCATGGTGGTCTAGGTACAGGTTCTAGTTGGTGCTGATCTTGGCCTGTCTCAGGTGCAGTCTAACAGCTGGTTGTTGAGATGTTGACTCTGTCTGTGATGGTACATCAGGCTGTGATGACAATTGGTTTTATGGGGGCAAATTTGTTTAGTGATACTTCAATTATTTGATGAGTCATTGTGTCATATTCATTATTCTTCTCTAATGCTGAAGAAGGGCAGAGGCACAGAGGTAGCAGTAACTGTCTGTGGTTAACACAAGGTTAACACAAGCTCAAGACATTTTCATGTTTTATTCTACAACATAATTCATTCATTCAAAGTCATTAAATACCCCAGTCGTGATTTCTTTAAAGGGATAGTTGGGGTTATTTGACGTGGGGTTGTACGAGGTAGTCATGCAGAGTCGGTGTGTTACCTGCAGTAGATTCAAATTAGCACTCCCACTTAGGAGAGGCGGCTGGGAGCATGGGCACACCAGTAGAGCTATGTGCTGCTGTGCATGGGACCAGTAAATACGTGTTTTAGACACTTTTAAAAACAGCCACCGAAAGAATCCACACAAGGTAACACACTGGCTCTGCATGACTACCTCACACAACCTCATGTCAAATAACACCAACTATCACTTTAAGCTTTTACATCTGTTAGAAAACACAGGTTGCTAACAAGTGTCTAAATTAAACTACACAGGTTGCTGGGGACGTTAAACGTCATCTCGTTGAAAATGAAAACAGATCTACTCACCAGCCCACCTTTACAGCCTCGTTGTGTTTATACAAACTGTTACTAACTTTGTAAGAGGAAGAGGCTAAATCAAACTACAAGTTGAAGTTGGATTTCTGTCTGACTGTCCCAGGTCTCAAGCACCTCAAGGATCAGGTCTTTGTTATGTAGGACTTTATTGATGTATATGTTTAACAGAGGAATGTGTAGGTTTAAAAAGCTGTGTTATGAATCAGACTGAACCGGATTCATCGTTGTTCTGGGGTCATGAGAAATTTGAATCAGAGTTACAGACCAGAAAAACTTCTGAGACCCTAAACCACTGTTCCCTGGCAGCTCCAGTCCAGAAATATTTCAGAAGCCACACTGGCGTCAACCTGGGACCAGAGCAGAACCTCAGACTGCTGTAAAAGGGACCAAGGGGACATGAAGATAAAAATAACATGGGAGGAAACCACCACTGATCCTGACTGTGATGGTCCCTGTTAAAGCTGGAGTAGTCCTCACTCCCTCAGTCCTCATTCTAAGGTTCTCAGTCCTGTGTTTCCCTACCCCCACCCTCTGTCAGTTCTACTGTCTGTTATTTTCTATGATGCTATAATGTTGTTTATACAACATTACACTTACAAATACATTAACGGTCGTTATCTGTATTAGATTGTAACAAACTTTGCAAAGATGAAAATATTTCCAGAAATAATGTGGGGATTCAGAGTTCATACAGGTCTTTACAGAGTCTGATCAGAGAGTCCTTAAAGGATCAGACCAGGATCCAGAGACATCCTCAAATCTCAGTGAAGCAGCTTGTTGTGTTCAGTGTTGTGTAGAGTCTTGTGGTCTGACTATGGTATGTGGTTGTGCCTCAACCTGTACAGACAGGTGACACACTGCACCTATCACTTACATAATGGCAGATAATTGTCAGTGAACACTGGCCACTGTGTGTTTTTCTGAGGTGGGCTCCTCATCTTCTCTCTCATTGGATGAGGTGCCTCAGGGCGTTGTGGAGGTGGGGCCTATCCCAGCATGCCTCCCTCAGAGCCGTCTGGTGATTCCTGTCCAACCAGTGTCGGTTCAGAGTGACCCAGAGAGACAGCTGGTCTCTGACTGAACAACAGTGTGAGTCATTTCTATGGAGACATGTTTCTGTCCAAAGTGAACTGTAACAACAATTTTAACTTTAACACAGCAGTTGTGTTTTCAGCTGTCATGTCCTGAATAGAGAAAAACTACTGAAGACTGAGCTTTTCTTCCATTCAGATAACACAGGGTTGATATGCGACTTGTCTCAGTGACTTTCTGTTAGATGATGAATCCAGTTCATTATAAGAGCGTTCTTCTCTTTGTTGTTCTTAAGTCTGCTGAAAGTCAGACAGTAAACAAACCCTCAGTTTAGTCATATGTGTTGAGAAAACCAAGGTGAACCTCAGAAGAACCAACTCTTCAGCTCAAACCTCCAACACTCACCAGAGTCCCGAATCCTGCAGTGGAACATATGTTCCTATGAATTCATTGGTACAGGTCTGTGTAAAGATGAACCTCTCAGTTCATCATCAGGATGAAGCTGGTCAGTCTGTTCCAGGACCAGGTCTGTGGCAGGACTGTTGTGATAAAGCAGAGTGACACTGAGCCGCCTCCTCCTCCTCACTGATCATGTCTCTCATTGACCCCATCAGATAAACCTCTCACCAACAGTCCGAGCAGAGCTTCTGATAGTTGGTGACTGGCTCTGTAATCAGAGGGTAACAGGTCAAACTCAGACTCTGACATATGTGACAGGTCCTTCAGTTTTCTGTCTGTGTTGTCTCATAAACTGAATGTAGGACAGAATTTAATCATGTTGGCCTGAAACTTAACTTTTGTCTGGTAAATTATTATTGGATGTAATTGAGTGTAATTCTCTGGTCTATCAGTGGAGTGAAACTACACTAC